AAAGGCGCATTTAAAAAATGGATGACATAAAAAAACGTCGAGATTATCGTCGGCGAACCCGGAAACCACCGATCGCAGGGTATCGTAGAAAGATTTAATCGAACGCTAGCCGAGAGACTGTTTGGTCATCAGTACGCTCAAGAAATGTTAAATCCCGAGAGTAGAAACACGCAATGGGTCGAGCGATTACCCGGCGTGATCAAGGCAATAAATGATTGAACGACAAGATTATTAGCTAAAGCGCCGTCACAGGCGGTTAAACTAGAACAGGTCCGACAATCGCCGGCTAACCCTGTTAAAACAAAAGAGCAGAATTTACCGCAAGACGCTATGGTTAGATATTTATATTACCCGGGCGAGCAAGAGGGTGGAACCTCAAGAAGAGCCACGGATCCCATTTGGAGCGTAAAGATTTATAACGTTGAAAAAAGAACGAGTCAATTTAAAATGTTTAACAGAAAAAAAGTGACGACGGGCCCTACGCTGTATTACCTGCAAGACGGCCCAAAAAGGAGTTTTGTTAGACAAGAGCTTCAAGTCGTACCCGAGGACACGCTATTACCGCCGTAGTGACTAAAAGCCAGCGTGTTTATACCATCCGGTAAAATGTACCTCTTTGTGTTCAACGGACTCAACGATAGTTTATTTTGAGATACGATGTATAGGATATGATTTTCCGATCTAATGTGAGTCATGGTTGCGTAATGAGATTTCTTGTTTAAGATGCAGTCGTAATAGTGTCGGTGTTTTAATTTCTTAGAGGTGACCGATTTTGTGACACCCTTGGCTTTTTTCATGTTGATGTCATCGGTTAAAATGGAGTACATTTTAGGTCTTAAACAAACAACTTCTTTGACTATTTTACCTCCAAACTCGTCTTTAAATTTACCGATCACTTTCTTATTGGTTGGGTCGTACAAAGGATGATCCGTTGGATAATTCGAAAGGTCGTATTGTTGCCCATTTTGCTGCATATCTTTGTATACGTCGTCGGTGTGCACTACGAGTACCAAACTGTCTGTATCTGTGTACATCAACCTGATTTTTCTCTTTGTACTTGTCTATCAAATGGTTGTAATAAAAATCGTACATCAGCGTCTTTGAGAGATCTAAGATACTCACTCCGCAATAGATCGGTTTGTTTAACACAGTTTTAAAAAGTCTTGTACTTTTCAACAAATGACAATTTGCATTCTGAAAATGACGTCGTCGTTTTGTAGCTCGGTTTATGTATAATTTTTTCGTATTTATCTCGATCGTCATCGTTACTGTCTCTGAGTAGGTAACCGTCAATCCTGTTTCTGACGTTTTCCATCGTCTTACCAAACACGCTGTTATTCATCAGTTTAAAAAAGTCTTTCTCAAAATCAGAGGTCGCTTTTGTTCTAAGTTGCGTGTTTTTGTCTATGTAAGATGCCATCCAAGGCGCTTGTTTAAATTGCAGCACTCGATGCACCTTGCAAGTTTCAAGCCGAGTTTGAGATACAACTGTAACGTGACGTAGTGCAAAACATATTTTTGTTTAGGATTAAGGGTACACGTTAATTTTTGCACGTTGCTACTAGGTTCGGTATCCAATAACTCGTTTTGATAATCAGACATCCATTCTTTTGGTATGACGATATTTTCTGGTGCTAGGGGGTAATCGTTGTGCAGGTCTTGGAGATTGTCTGGGTAATCTAGGTCTACTTCGAAGCAGTAACCGGTGTTTGACGTTTTCCTGAGAGATAATATCTTGGACTCGGTAAACGTTTTTGTAGACGCCCATTTATCTCGTACGTAGGTATTTGTTGTTGGCTTTGTGGTATCTCATACCACCCACGCTCGAGATACCACCTCTTTTTGCCTTTTCAAAAAATAAATGTTTGTCTACGTCTTGCAATAGTTCGAGTTTAACTTCCGAGTGTTTTAACAAGGCATCCCACGACAATCCTGGTGCTGTGTAGTAATTAGCCGGATCTAATGCGTAGTTTGTAATACACGTTTGCCTAAAGTTTTCAAATACGCAAGCCAGTAATAACGTATCGGTAGCAACGTACAAATCGTGATATTCCCCCATGTTTTTAACTTTAAACTCGTTCCATGTCAGTTTAGCTCTGTCGTAGTACTCTCGCGATATATTTCGTCTTTTAGGCTGCTGTAAAATTGTTCGATGGGGGGTAGGCTGGTCTCTTGAAATCTGTCAAACGAGTCCATGTATTCATACGGATAAACTCCTTTTTGTAACAACAAGTCGATGTTTTGACGATTAAAATGTTCTCTGAGTAGTTTAAACGACTCTCTTGGACAAGCTTTAGATAATCTATCCAACGAAGACGCCATAAAATTAAACGAGTCTATAAATCGCATATTTCCGATCGAAAACGAAATATACTTTTCCTAATTTTTAGCGATAACTTGTATTTCCTTTTCGTCATCGTACTCTGAAATACTCTGCATGATCAAGTGAGCGTCGTAATTTTGCAGATTGTGAAAGACGACTGGTATGGGGTAAAACCTGGTTTAACTTGTAATTTTAGACTACAGTAGGCGTGCGCGGCACCTCTATATCTACCAGTGACGTAAAAGTGATCTATCACCTTTCTAAATTTGTTGATTTTCTTTTTGCATTCGAGACATTTAGACTCGATAAATCCATTTTTGTTTTTGTACTGATGTTATTTTATTGGTTTTTCTGTTTTTGGTTTTTTGGGTTTCTGGCACTGACAGTTGCTCGAGTAATTGGGATAAATTGGTTTCTCGCAAATCCAACACGTGTTTGTTTTATCATGATGTTCTTTAGCTTGCTCGTTAAATTTCATGGGTTGGGGTTGTTTAAATATGCAATTTGTGTCGCTTTGTATTTTTAACATTTTATTTACAAACTTTGATGCAGCATCTTTACCTCTATAAGTCTCTTGATACGCATTGGTGCTGTCGCATCTAACTACTACCAATGACCAACTACAACTGCTTGCTTTGTGAATGTTTGTCTTTTGCGTGTTGTTCTTTTTATCGTCCGAGTTTTTTTCTAATATCGATTCAAAGTCGGCGTAAACTACAAACGGTGCTTTTTGTTTAAACCTGTAGTTTTTAAGTTCTAATATTGGCACACCGTTTTCGTCGACTATCCACTCATTATTGACATATTTTCGCTTAGCGGTAGGAAATACATGTACATGTATGTGTACAATCTTTGACGGATGTGTATCTATACCGCTACAGTCAGTCATGTGTCTATCTAATTTTACTTGCATTCTATAATGACACAGGCACCTTCAACAAAAATATTTCTTACTTTTATGTTTTGTAACGTTGTAAATCAATCTCGAAAAATTATTTATCCAGCAATAGTGATGCTTGTCGCCCTCAGAAAACAAAAACAGATCGATAGGTCGTGACTCTGCTTTATAGTTTTTAGACACGTATAACGGATATATTTCCCCCTCATAACCGTATACGTTTATTTTTAAATTATTTTGTCTTTCTATCTTTGGTATCTGGTCGATCGATGTTGGAAAGTCTACGCCTTTAAATTTGAGTCCGTTGTCTTTGGTGTAAATACTAGGTCTGTCTTCGCGAGGTCTATATTTGGGATTGTTTTTTATGTTATTTTTTACTTTATCCGTATACAACCAAGAGCAGCTCTCAAACACCATCTCAAACACTCGTCGTCTTTGTTTTTAATATTTATCATCGCCTGTTTTCTTTTGATATGCGGGGGTAGGTCTATGTAAGAACTACCCCTCACGGGGTTAAACCTGTTGATGTTGATATACAACGCCATTATCTTTTTTAAAACCCAACCCGATCCTTGATTCGTATACCTTTCATCCTTTCTAAATATCTTGTCGATGTCTTCTTTTAAAACCTGTTGTATTTGATTTTGATTTAAAATGACTCTCTGATCAGTAAAATGTGTAGCTTCGATCGTTTCGATCGTACCATCCTGTTTGGTTTTTTCGTATTTTATTTTGATTGTGAGCTCTATTTTTAAACCTCTTAGCTCTCTCAATTCTGACTTGATTTTATTTACAATTTGATCTTTGTGCGTATCAAAAATCTGACTAAATCATCGTTAAAAAGTCTAGGAATCAGTTCCCAGTTTCTAAAGTTGTTTCTAAATCTCCTCGTCGCTCTTGAAAATCCTCGGGTTGACTAGAGTTTTGAATCGCTGAGAGTAAATCTTTTTTCAAAAATCGACCATTATAACCCGTCGGGTTATATTCTAGATCGTAATCGTCTACAATCTGTTTGAGCTCATGTAGCGTCTTTTTCCTCAAGTTTTTAAATTGAGCTTCGTAGTTTTTTATCCCGTTGATGTAGACTTTACGCATAAGAGCAACATTTTGATTGTACAGTATATTATATCGCTGGACGTAATCGCGCAGCGTGGCTTTATTCCATCTAGGGAATCCCTTAACGATTGGCCTGATCGTATTCATCATTTATATATATCAATATATTATTTTTTCAAATTTTTTTAAGAGGTCAGACTTTTGGATTTATAAGCAATCAGACTCACCGGCTGGTGAGAGAGAGATCTTCAATACGAGAGATATTGGGGCTGGTTTTGGCCTGATTCCGAGACTGAGATATTGGGAGAGGGAGGGGAGGGGGATCTATTTTGGGGGAAGGGGAAGGGGAGGTGGAGGGGGGGCGGGGGATCATTGGGGAGGGGTTAAGTCTGGTACCCTCCAATATCATACTACTGACCATATTTGGAGAAACAAAACCTTTAATTTGGTCTTTCAAGAAAATTTCCCCTCAGCATCCTAGAGGGTACATGTATTTGCATAATGACACATAGGCCTGTCTGTACCCTTTTTAAATGCGTCCATTATCATTACACTGCCAATTTTCATCTTTTGACATTGTTAGAGAACACTTTCATATCTTTATGTATGGTCGTACTAGCAATAGAATAAGCTGAATGAAATTGCAGTGTTTCAGCCATTCAGTTAACATTGTATCTACTGTACGTCCTTCTGAAGATTTCTTGGTTTTATTTTTGCACACAGATTTTGTGACCCAGCACCACCCTGGCAGCTGAAACCAGCATGATGTTGTCCTCAAGAAAACCATGGATGTCAGCACAGCACGCGACACGTACCCGGTGAACTCCAAGCTACAGACATGACAGAAATCTAGACTGGATCTGATGAGCTACCAATAGTTCCTGTCACAGGATATCAGAGAACCCTCAGCATTCACTGCGATTGTTTCCTGTAATTCAACCAGTCTGAGGCGAACTGGATTTCTCTCTTGCCCGGATGTTGTGGGATGCCACTCAGCGACACTGACATCACTTCTAAGATGCTCTCCTGAATATGTTGGATCTGCATTGACTGTGTGAGATTCATGAGCTACACAACCACCACTGAGAAGGACTTGCAACAGAACAAGTGGACTTCCTTCAAAACAATTACCCAGAGATCTTCACTTTCAAGCTCAGTGTGCCACAAGATGTTTTAACTTATAGCTAGTCGTCAAAAACTGCCTAGAGAGTTGTGTTTGCTCAATTTGAACAATTACGTGACTCGAAGGATAATCTGTACTTGAGCCATGCGCCTGCACGAGTCTCACCAGACATTTGGAGAACTGCAATAACACATGCACTAGACAGCATGAGGTTACCGTCGGACCCGTCTCAAGATCGTATCTCGGCCAGGAACTGACTGCTAGAGGAGTTCATGATAAGCTGGCCTCTGCCAGCCGCAAAAACACTGGATGATTCACATTGACTGTTGCTGTCTGCCAGAGAGTTATGACTGAGGAACTCTTTCGAAATGGAACTCTTTTGAAATTTACTTCTGTTGAAATGGAACCCTCTCGAAACTGAACTCTTTGAAATGGAACTTTGTTGAAACGGATCTCGTTGGAAACAGAACTCTTTTGAACCAGAACTCTTTTGAGATGGAACTCTTTTTAAATTAAACTCTTTGAAATGGAACTCTGTTGAAACGGAACTCTTTTGAAACAGATCTTGTTGGAAACAGAACTCTTTGGAACCTGAACTATTTTAAGATGGAACTCTGTTGAAACAGAACCCTTTTGAACCGGAACTCTTTTGAACCGGAACTCTTATGAACTGGAACTCTTTTGAGATGGACCTCTTTTTGTAATTGAACTCTTTGAAATGGAACCTTCTTGAAATGGAACTCTTTGAAAGGATAATGTATATTAAAGAAGTAGAGGTCTCTCTTTCCTTGTCACTAAAGGTCATCAGAGGTCACCTCTTTGACCCCATATGTGTAGAAAAGGTTGCCTTGGCCGACCACAATTTGACAGACATCTAGAATCTTGAAAGGCAGTTGCCATAATCTTCACTCACAGTGTTTGATGATGGAAAAGTGATGTAGTCATCACCTAGTGATAAAGTTTGGGACGAGAACTGCAAAGTTTTCTATATCAAGAAAATTGTCCAGAAACCTTCAAAACATGCTATCTTACTATGTTGACCCACAATTGATGGCAGTAGTAGTTGAGATCAAACCAAACCATAAATCGTGAATATGGAAGAGAGGCCTCTACACACCTCACCACAGTGACCACACGTAACCAGCTTCTCTCTGCAAACTCAAAGCATATTTCATAGAATTGATTTGTCTTTGATTTTTATTCAGTGCATCCACTAATTTTCTTGTATCAAAGTATCACAAAAAAACTTTCAACAAGCAGTGAAAATGAGGAAAGATGTAGCGCTGCATTTTATAGTTCTTATTTCCCGCTCTGCCAGTTGCAAAATAAACTGAAATTTAGCCAAATTCACTAAATATTCACTAAAGCTGAGGGCTGCGCAAGTATTGAAGAAAAAAATTCTCTCAGAAAAATCTTGATGATACAACTTCCTTTGGCATATATATAGAGAGAGCTGGTTACATCAAATTAATTGATAATTGAATCTGAAATATTTTTTTTATGGCATTGCCTGATTGGTAATAGTTGGGTGCAAGATTGGTTTTCCTAGAACAAAATTCTTTAAACTTTGTGTCGACACACAACGCTAATGCAGTTATTTGAACGTCATTGCCAATTTTAATCATTGCTTGGTTCAGTTTAAATTCAAAATAATTGGAGATGTCCAAAAATCCAAATTTCTTACTCAAGCACTCATGCAGGAAAACCCAGATATTCGTGTAAATGCGCAGTTTTGCAAACAGCTTTCATAATGAGCCATTCAACTTTTTGTTTATACTTTCAAAATTTCTTTCAACTCTTCAGAAATGGCTTTTCAAAAATTTTAGATGCACTTTCCAGTTCATCATAACTTAGCTGCGTACTATCAACAGCCATACCAATCTTGTACCCAGCTTTTGTTTTATCAAGTATAGTCAGCACTGGTCCACTGTTTAACAGACAAAATTTGTCTGTGAATGAAAAAAGTGATTGCATGTTGGTTTTAGTTCCACTTGTTCGAAAAAAAATTGCCAAACCCAAAATATTCCATTTCAAGTGAAAACACTGCTAAAAATGCCTGCAAAATTTGTTCTTATTCGACAGTTTACCAGGTGTTTTTGTGGACACACCTTTGTTTAATTACCTCCAGAAATGTAGGCTTTCTTGTCCATTGGTCAAGCGATGTTTTTCTAAAATCCCATTTGAAAAAGAAAAGTAAACAGTATTAAACTGTTGATTACTTACAAACACCAATTACCAATATTTTTTAGCGCAAAAAGGAACAAAAGAATTGATGTTCCGGTGCTGGCTGTACATGTTCATTGGAAAAAAATGATGATTAATTTGTTGAGTAACCCATATACATATACTTGACATTTAACCAACAGGCAATGTTCTGATATACCCGAGCCCAACGCATGCAAGTCCCCCCGGGGCGTGCACGTGTGGTGTTCCCCGCCCGCAGATGCCGGCTTGTCTGGTGAGTCGCCCCTATCTGCATTGACGAGTGGTCTTTTGTTCAAGGTGTGTGCTAGCTTCCTGATCTTGTGGTCTGGATAATCGTGGATGACTTGGTCGACTTCAACATGGTAAGGATCCTTTTGAACTTTGACAATTAGTTTGCCTTTCTGCAAAGGAGATGTCTTTTTGGCCGTTTATTACCGAGTGTTGCTGTGGAAATTATGTACCATCTATCAATCTGGAGATTGCAAATCTAGAGATCAATTGAGCATCTACTTTTGATGTCCTGCTTGCATTTCAATAGTTCCATGGCATCATGTTGATCCAAATGATCTGCTAACAAATAGATACTGTTGTTGGTATATCTGATGTTCTTTAATGTGGTAGGATTTTCGGACAGGTGTTTCAGCCGCTATTTATGTGAATAACTTCCATGGTATAACTCTGAAATCTCATTGCCTTTTATTGTGTCATCATGTACAATCAGTTCCCTCATAGAGTGTGTTCAAATCTTAGACATGCACGGATAAACATTATAAGGAAATAATTTCAAAGGGAAAACAGTTAAAACGAACTGAATCAAATGTCAAATCTGCTTCTAAATTCAGCATCTGATGTATCAATTAAAAAACTTCAGTTTGCAAATAATATTTGTGTTTTTGGCAGCATATGATTCTTAACTTAAACCTGAAAGTATTGACCAAATATTTGGCTAAATTTCAAAAGTCACAATTTTAACTTGATAAACCAAAATTTACTGACCATCAATTTTATTGAATTTCAAAAAGGCAGCTTCCCTGCCTCAGATAATCTCTGTATAAAGTCAGTCAAAATTCTAAATTCTGGTTTTCATCATAAAAAAAGTAAGTCCCGATTTCAAAGCAACTCTATTAAACATTGTTAAAAATCCAAATGTAAACAATAAGGAAAAAGAACTCAATGAATGGGCCAGTGCGATCATTTTTATAATCGGAAAAGCTGTTGAAAAAAACTAACATGGAAATAGAAAGTTTTAGGAAAGAAAAAAAAGGAGAGAAGGCCAAACTCTTCAAATTGTAGGGGAGAAGTCCTGGTGTGCAGAGGGGGAGAACCATGCTGCTTCCTGGCCAGATGGAAGATGTGGTGGACAAAAAGGCCCCCTGCATCCTAACAAATAGAAGCTGTGGTGTCAGACACAGGGAGCCAGTCCTGCCAGATGGATCCATGGTAAGTTTAATTGAAGTTTGTTGAATGAATTCATGCACTGTGTACATCTTCATTGCTTGCTAAACCCAACGGGAAAATGTGTATCTCATGGCTAGGAGTAAACGCTATCTGTCTGCATTACAGGAAAACAGTATTGTGCATTATAGTCTTCAGTCTGTGGCAATACCAGTTAGCTCAAAGGACCAAAAAGAAAAACAAATATCAGCGATTTGGCAATTTTTATCAAAATCGAAATGAAAGGCATTGACACGACAGTTGTACTAGGAACTGGTCAAACGATCCCCATTCAATTTTGATATTGCTGAAGAGATGTCAATAATCTTCTTATGAGTGTCCATTGAGTCCTACAATCATACAGAGATGCAACCAGTGTATTGGTGTGCAAATATCTCACTCAATCTCGGCAATCTTTCGGGACTCGACACTCACTGCAAGCACTTAAAGTGCTGCTGCCAAAGTCATGGTCAAATGTTGTGACCTCTGCACTCCAATCCTATGATTGGATGAAACCTTGGGCTTGAGCAATCACTGCAGCCTCCCATAGATTCATCACCCACCTGATAGGTGGTTGCATGGGGGAATCCCCTACCAGGGCTGTCTAAAATGACCTTAAGCAAGATGATGATGTGGTGTGTTCATTAGTCTGTGCACAGTGAAGCCCCATCAAACTGTGCTCTTAGCAATTTGAAACTAAAGCCTTGAAAATCTAGGCATGAAGCAAAAGCAATACCATCTCCTAATTGAAACACAAAGTTAGTCATTGATCAAGTTTCTTTCATGAAATAAACCAAGTTTTTTATGCGTGTGGCTCTTCACCTCAGTTTCTGGAACCGAGCATATCTGCCTCAGTAATGTGTATTACTGAGAGTGAGTCGTTTTCATTTGAAATTTGAACATGATGTTCAAAAAGCTACAACTGTCATTGCCATGTATCAACCAATAGATAATCCTGCTTCACTTCTGTGGGTGAATCATACGTTTTAAAACTTAAAAAGTAAATATGAATGTCTAAAAGAGTCCTGAAGGATCTTCACCATAAGTAATCAAAATCATCGAAATTTTCAATCCGATACTTGTAAAGATGGGAACTCACAATGCAGTTGAAAGTAAAAAATTCCTTTGGTCTTATGACCAGTTCTTTCATACTCAAGAAACTGAGCATCAGTGTTCATGTACATATAATACATGTATGGCTTCAGAGAGCTGTTGCAAAGAAAACAAATCGTCAAAACGATCAGATTTATTGAACATTTGAAATATCCATCCATTCTGAGTTGAGCCACTTTGTTTCATTTCTAAAGTAATCAATTCTTCAAAAAAAATTTAATGGTTGCTGAAGCCAATCTGCCTTAATATATTTTGTAACACCAGCAAAGCTATTAAAAAAAAATTCACCAAAAATACAAAATGTGCAAAGTTATTTGGCACTCAGAACAATTCTTGTGATAAATTGTGAATTTGAGCGACTTCAAAAAACAAGCATTCCAAAAGGATCGTAAAGGTGAATGTGGCCTGACGTAGCGAACTTAACAAGTTCTTCTTCAGAGGCAAAAAAGTTGTGAGTTTTCACAAGTTAACAAATTGCAAGAGGATGCCGTGAAATGCCAGCATCCTATTACTAAGATATTTTTGTTGCTAAGCTCAATCGAATCTGCAATTGTAAAAGAAAAAAGTTGAGATGATAATAGGACTGTTGTTTGTTAGTTGTCAAATAAGGTGAAGATCTTTCAGGACACACGTTGGTCTTGCCGCAGACTGAAGACTAGCTATGCTCCATGCCTTAACCCTTTAGTGACCACACTTTTCTCTGTGTACAATGCTGTAAACTTGCAAAGTGCAGTTCCTAATCGAGGCACATATTGTGAATTGCGATTTTTATCAAATACTTAAGTACGTAGCTAAATAAATATTTAAAAATGCTGGTCCTCCGTTGCCACTGCAGGCAATTCAAATGTGGTCGCCTCTAGCGGCTTTGGTCACTAAAGGGTTAAAAAGAAAATATGTCAAAGGTTTACCAAGTCATTGTCGGGTCAATTTTGATTAAGTTTAGTTACGAAAAGGGTTGTATGAACATACACATGTAGGGCAGATCTTTAAATAGAAAATGTCCAATCTTATCATAATTTATTAAAACTAACCTTCCTGTTTAAAAAATAATTTCAAAAGCTAAACCCTGATTAGTAGTGTAGACAATTCTTCTGACAGGTGACATTTAGTAAACTTCTGTATTAATTTTTCCATTGATCAAACCCTTCATGAAATCAGTGTACATGTGGTGTTTTTCTTTGCATTTAATGAATCATCACATGAACGCTGCCTCTGAGAAATTATTGAATAATTTAACCCAGTGAACAGTGAATAATACTTGATGAGATAATTATACAAAATTGAACGTAGGGTCTAAATCTGTCCAAGAAATAAATAGATTTAACCAAGTAATACAAGTTAAAAATGTTAAACACAACGTCGAAACCTTTGACAGAACTGTAGATCGAAATACCAATTTGAGGCAGTTTAAGTTTTATCTTCCACAGGGTTCATATCGTGTAGTGAATTAAAGAGTTGGGGAAACACTTACATGATCAAAGTCAGTTTCAATATAATGAAGTAAAATTTGATAACTTGTAAATTTTCTCAGCCGGAAATTAGCATCAAGGTTTAAAAACCAGTAGAACTGACGAATGTAGTTAGCTTACTTAGAAAATCTGATTTTTGTGCTAAATAGGATTGTTTTCATGTTCTTAAAAAGACCTCAAAAACATACGTTAATGTAATTCCAAATTATTCCAAATAAATTAACCTAATAGCTTAAAGTTAATTTGACAGTCATATACATGTTTGCATGTAGGCATTATACAGTGTTCCTTGTGCCTACGGTAACTTAGCAGGAGTAGACCCAGAGATATCTGAAATGACCAGGACTTTCGCCAAAGTCACTTGGTTTGAATCTCAGGCCATGTACAGGTACACTAGGCTGTACACAACTGCAGCAGAAACACATCTAAAGTCAAGAGAGAACACAGTTAGCCTGTACAGTTAGTTGTTATATAAATGTAGGTTTTTCAGTTTCTTTCTAAAGATGTCAAAGGTTCAAAACGTTTAAGATCAATCTTGTCTTGAATGTCGTAATGGGCAGGCCCCAGGATAAATCATAAACAAGTGGCAGTTTCCATGATTGAATAATTATTTGAAAGAGCTAACAGAAATTCTGCTCTTCTCTTTGGCGAACTTTAGAGCACACTTGCAATTCACAAAACAGACATGACTTGCCGTGAAAAAAAAATGGGGGAAAAAAGTATTTTGTGTCACGTAAGAACCCCTAATTCAGAGCATTATCTGTAACTGACACGAACTGAATGTTTGATGTGTAAACACAGAAAAAAAAGAGGGAAAAAAATAGCCGTTCAAAACTTTTGCCAAAATAAAGTGTCAATTCATGACACTGTACTCGTAGAATATGTTCATTTCATGGCACGCATCAAATTTTGATGATGTTGTACATGTTGTACAAAAAGCACTTGAAATATGCATTCAGGACTTTGAATGTTTCAAAGAAAAAGGGGAAAAATCCAAGAGATGTGCAGGTAACCCCTGCATTGACAATTCACCTCCTGATAGTAATTGTGATGCGTATTTTGGCAGTGAACCATGCACGGTCTCGACAAATCTTGCAGAAACACTCAAACAATTTTGCCAGAAGAAATTGGTTGATAAAAAAAGCAGACTAAAGACACAGTTTTCATTCCACTCCTTTTTGGTCATTCTAAAAACCAAGGAAACGTTTGTCCGTAAAAATCGTTGAAATTACAAGGTTTTGTTTCC